ACTGATGAGGGTGGTTGGAAAGGGAGGGGCAAGTTAAAATTTTTACAGGGGTTTTAATTTTAATGAAGTCCAATTTATCTTATACAGATATTTAACCTGAAAATAACCCATTGTTGACCATTTTTACGGGCTATCCCGTGTACTGAAGTTGTGAGTGCTAAATACATTTGAGCGCTATGGAAACACACATCTAATTTCATGTCACGGCGGTGTTTGTGTTGGGGGGGGGGGGGTTATTTTTGTGACTGGGGGGGTGGCGGTTGTATGTGTGTCTGAGGTAGGCTCAGGGTATATGCTTGTTTCTGTGGGGGGGGGGGGGTGCAGTGACTATTCGTTAGTGTGCAGGGGCAGTGTGTGTGTCGTAAGGCTGAGTGGAATGTGTGTGTGTGTGTGTGTGTGTGTGTGTGTGGGAGGAGGTTAAAGGGAAACACCAACGGAGACTGTGCAGTGGTATTTCATCACTTCACACCGGTATTTAATTACAACGCACCAGCTATGAGACAGTAAATAAATATGAGGTTGATTGGAAATCAGCACGTTACAACGGTGTTTCAAAAGGGAAATAGACAAAGAACAAACAAGTACCTGCACACACTACACACACAGAAACACAATGTAATTTACGGCTGATATGTTAGAATAACGTGCATACATCAACTTAATAAAAGCATAACCAAATAAAAGCATATCCAAATAAAAGTATTATACTTACTACGACAAGATAATTATTGTGCATACATATTTGCTCTGTTATCCTTACGGTGTGACAGGAATCGTAGTCCTAGGAATGGAATGGAAGTATAGGTTAGTCAGAGTATCGGACTTAGTATATGTGCAAAGTAGGCCCCCTATTAGTGAACGATCTACGGTTCCTATCATTCCTGTCACACCGTCTCCTTCACTTATACGTATACAGCTGTACGTAACCCACACCAGCCGATATCAATAATATAAAAACACAATACGCCTCGTGGTTTCAATGGGCAATCAATATCAACATAACGGCTGCCACTGGGTATTAACCTGGAAATATTACAATGAAATATAAACTGTTTACGTGGCGTTGGCCATTGTGGCCTAAACAATAGAGCATTACACTAGCATATACCAGTACACAATAGAGCAGTACACTAGCATATACCAGTACACAATAGAGCAGTACACTAACATATACCAGTACACAATAGAGCAGTACACTAACATATACCAGTACACACCGAGCAGGAGAATTTGTGTGTTTACCTGAGAGCAATGGCGGTCGTATAAAGTACTCAGTGGAAGTCTGAGTAGTAACAGGATTAAAGAAAACAGGTATACTTACGTTATAGTATGAAGTTTACATGTATATCGATATCAAATGATTCTAACAAACTCTGTTTTAATGGCATCGTTTAAATACTCTTTCGTCGTCCTTAGATCTTCTCATTTTAAAGTATTATAATATGAAGTGAGACGTACGTCCACTCCATTCGTCCTCTTGTAAAGGTTCAGTCACATTCTAAGTCACAACGAGAGGAAAGTGAGATGGAAAAATGACAGAAGTCCCAGATGGTCGGATTGACCCCCTAAGAAATATTACTGATTTTGGTAAGTTTTGTGCATTATCTTTTTTCTGAAAGCGATGTCCTTTTGATAACCCCGTATGAGTCGAACTAATAAATGACCTATCTTTGTTGTAATGTAAAACTAGAGTGCTCTCATAACAAAATTACACTCGTGTACACTTTAAGAAAACATTGTGATTTGGGACTTAACTTTGGGTACTCTATATAAGTATAACATTTTGATTCCGGAATGATAATTTATCTAGAGTGGGACTTGTGCAGGGTACTATATAAAATCGCAAGGTATTTCAGTAATGTAAACATTAGGTATTTGTAGAATAGAACATATTATTGAAAACCTTAATACTTCATTTTGTCGTATTCTGTAGGTGGTGAAGACCTGGATATAGTAATAGGTAAGTGGAGTGTTGGAAACGTGTTTGCCTGTGTAACACAATATACACACACTGGACAATAGAATCGTCACCCCCTGGATCAGAGTAATCAAAGTTATAATGCCTGGTCTACCTATAATGTGACTAATGAGTATAAAACAGTTGTACCATGGAATTGTATTGTTGGTCTTTTTGTAAAATTTGATGTTAATAAATTGATACCAGGAGCATATCATTCCACAGTCATTTATTTCCCCCAAAGTACTGGTTTCGTAGGGGTGACACCTGTATTGTCCAGTGTGTGTATATACCAAGACACGAATAGGTAAAGTGTACTGTAAGTCCAGAAGACGAGATATTGGTTGGTAAATATCAGTTAATTTCACTAGTTATATGCTCGTAAATCCTAGATATTTAGAGACAGTAAACCTCATACCTCGATTAAAGTAGGCGGAAAGCTTACATTACGTGGCATTTAAATTGATAATACATTTATTTTGTATACATTATATTTTTCAGCGGAAGAGATTGGTAAGTATTGAAAAAATCACATTAAAATGAAAGTAAACAAAGTCGACCTCAATTGTAGCCAGATAGCTTTCATTACAGAATTGTGTACGCTGCGAGTGAACATTGTAAATTGGAAACCGTTTTGTCCAGTCTATAATATTGCATATTTCCGTAAATATTTTTTAAAAATCTTAATCAATTATACACTTATATTCATCCTCAATATCTTTCTCTTTCAGCAAGTTTGGGTAAGTATGTAGAACAAATCAGGAACAGTAGAAGGTATAGAATTAACCTTTAAAATGTAAAATAGAAGTAGAGTTGAAACAAATATGTAAGTGTGTATGCTTTTGGTCAACATTGTGTTTTTTTGGGTCATTTTAGCCAATTTTCTTAACTTCCGATCTTCAACAATATTTTATATAAGCGACTACATTTTACATATTCTGCGACTATTTGTGTATCAGCTTTATACGACTACTTGTGTAACAGTTTTATACGACTACTTGTGTAACAGTTTTAGATAACGAATCCATAATTTCAACTAGTTCACAGGTATCATACATGTGCAGAATTGCCGTAATCTGGCTACGTGAGATACTAATCATATCAGCTTACTCTAGGCTTCTATGTTTTTATCGCATATTAAGACATATATCAGGCAGCGTGTGCGGAGGGAACACAGAGAGTGTACAGAGCCAATGTGATAGTGGTTGGTCAGGGAGGTATTGGGAAAACACACCTTTGCCGAAATCTGCTGGGGGAAGAGTTCACTGAGGACGACCCGGTGACGAATGGTATTGAGGTATCTGGGTGTATTCTGGAGAAACACACTGCAGGGAGATCATGGCAGAGAAAAGGTGACAAACACCACTTAACGTCTATTATAACACCAACTTTATAAGATTGTTAAAGACTATAATATATATATATACAGTATATTGTTTGTTTTTTTCTGTCTCTCATACTTAGAACTAATATAGGAAATAAAACTTTGATTTTTTAATGCATTTACTTTGACAAAGCGTATTATCTGTTTACATTCCCCAATATTTCCCGTTGCGTAGAGTCCAGTGCAAATTACTGCATTGAGGCACTGGCCAGGGGCTTCAAGGAATACAGAGAAACCAGTAAGTAAATGTTGTGATAATAGATAATATTTTGTTTTTTATAATTTTCTTTAAAAAGTGAATCAATAGTTAATATATATATATATATATATATATATATATATATATATATATATATATATATATATAAGCAGTCGTTATGATGAAGGGTGAACATTATACAGTCAAGTAATATTACAAATATTAAATATCAGTCATACATTGATGAAGCTGCTCTAGACAGACGTCGGAATATAATATTTGAGGTCATCACCTCCATATGAAGAAAACTTACAAACTACCAAATATTTCTATACAAAACTTTTTTTAACAAATACGGTTTACAATCGGCAATTTAAATTTGGTACATGTCACTCCTCTATTTCGGTGTAGGTGCAAGAAAGTATCGCACAGCAGAGTAATTTTTTTTATCTTTTAGGGAAAACAAACAAGACTACTGTACGGAAAAACATTATAGATGGAGATGAAGTGACTGTGAAGCAGGTTCTTGAAAAAAGCCAAGGCCAACCAGATGTTCCTGATTTACTGACTCTCTGGGACTTTGGCGGTCAGTATGTCTTCTACACGACACATCAAACTTTCCTCACATGGCGAGCTGTCTACTTACTGGTGTTTGACCTCACCAAGGAGTTAAATGACCCTGTCTATGTGGAGCGAGTGGGCAGAACTGGACCAAAACCAGTGGATAGCGTCCCAGACACTGTTGGTGGTGCGTCCAGTTGTCTTTAACATTTTTAAATTAATTGGTCACCTTTCTCTTTTAATCAGAATCTTTTCAGACTTGTTTTGACTAAATGTGATTATTGTTCATGTACCCACCATTATTCAATTACATTGGAAGTTTAACTTGTAATCTTCCATATACATTTACAATTGTACCATTTTCACGCCATGAAATTAGCTATGGCAAAGAAACCACATTATGTATTAACAAATAATGTGTGGAAACTTATTTTCAGATTTTTTAAAATTCTGGCAGAATTCCATCCATACTCACACTGAAATAGTAAAAAGAAAAGACCCTGGATTGGTGGATATTTGTCCCAGAATCCTATTAGTGGGGACACATAGAGATCAACTAGGGAAAACTGAAGAGGTAGGAGGTCAAAATCGGGCCTGGGCATTTTTAAATAGATTTCTTTCCTTTAAACGAAATCGACAAATAAAGCCGCGAAGTTCAAGGTGATATACAATGTTACTATTCACATTTTATACTGAAAACATACATATTTATACATGATGTCCCACAAGCATACACACTGTACTACCAAAAACTGGAAATCAAACTGATCTGAATTACTCTGGATTTATATACATATGGAACAACATTATTTTATTTATTTAAATAATAATAATAAAAATAATAATATTAATGATAATAAATAAATAAATAAATAAACAAAAGACGATCGAATCAAATCCTTGTTGAGGGAAAGGTCGAGAAAGTTTAATTTTTTGTGAGAAAAATTAGATTTGGTCATGAAAATTCTAAATAGAACATTTTTGATATTTTAAGTCGCCATTGTAATTAGGTAGGCCATGCTTACATGTTCTGTACGAAACGCTTTTAAACATTTCTATCCACACTCATTACAAACAAAAGAGAAAACATTGATTTAATGTTTTTATTTCTATGATGTTTAAATCAATTCTACAGGAAAGGGTGAAGCTGACAAAGGAGAAATTTCGTAAAATTCAAGAATTCCTGGACGGCAGACCAGCGCATGACATGCACGTGCAGCCGTACTTCTACGCTGTGAATAACTGTGACCAGCAGGACGCCGGGATCAAGGAGTTAAAAGGGGGAATTTGGGAAACAATCCATGCACAGCCACACTGGGGAGAAGAGCAGCCATTGAGGTATGTACATCTGGAAAAAAGACTAAAGGAGATGAGCACATCTCGGAAATGTCTGAGCCTAGAGGATGTGTTCCAGGAGGGAAAGCGCTATGGTTTCGATGTTGCCGAAAAGGTTTTATTCTTTTTGGGATTCTACAGCGAGTTGGGAGAACTTGTTTTCCTCAATGAAGTTGGCATTAGTGAAATTGTCATATTAGATCCACAATGGCTGATCGATGCCTTTGCATCCTTAATAACTGTAGAGAAGTACCATAAAGTTTCTAAACCAGAAGTCAGGGGTTATTGGAAGATGCTGGATGATAGAGGAGAACTAGATGAACGACTGATTGACAGTGTGTGGGAACAAGACGCCGAGCTGAAGGACAATAATCATATTCTTCTTCGCATTTGTCAACGCTTTGACTTGCTAGTTGAACTACCGGAGGAACAAGCCAAAGACAAATGGAAGAAATATTTAGTACCTTGTGTGCTAAAAAACCAACCCATTCCAGACGGTTATTTGAAAATGCAGAAAATTCCTCCATTATATTTGATGTTTGACGGCGGATTCTGTCCCCCTGGTCTCTTTCATCGCCTGGTGGTCTGCTGCTACAGGAAGTGGTCATCTCACGACCAAAATCCATACTGCGACTATGCATGCTTCAAGGTGGACCGCTCAATTCACACAATATTGGAGTTATGTAATGAAGGAGACGGCACATTCAAAATCATGGTTGGCTCGTTGAAAGGAAGTGTCAACGTCTTGGATGGCGACAGTGCATTCCAGGTACTTAGCTATATCATGCAAGAGCTAGACCGACTTATTGGAGCCTACTTCCCTTACCTGAAGTACAACATTGGGTTCCGCTTCCCACACGGCCCGGAGAAACTGACAGAAGATCTGAAGACAGAGATGTTGGAGAGTGATGACGTTTGTCCACCTGGCTGCCGAGAAGTTATTGAAACCGCCCCGTACAGGAAGTGGCTCAGGAAAAATGAAAATACCTTTTGTCCATCAGCCAGAATCGGTAGGTTAATCTTCGCAGGTATTGTCCCTTCATTTTCTTATAACTTAAAGTAAATATACACATATGTATCAAGATTCGGGTATTACTAAGTAACATTAGACATTCAGTGTTTCAACAAAGCTAAGCGGATTTGTACACTTCAACATGTATTTGTACTTATTTTATTTTAAATAAGGCACGTGCAGTTGAAGTCATAATTATTAAAAGATTGTATAAAAAGCATTATAAATGAGACACTTTTGCATTAGATAATAAGCGAATGTAAACACATAAAATCCAAATACAAAATGACAAATATTATTTGAGTATGCCAGGAAACTGATTCTGTTGATAAATATTCACTGTTACATTTAATACATATGTTACTTGTTATATATTGACGATTGCGTTATGGTTTCTATTGTTTCATTTTTATAGCTGTCTATCCACCTGATGACTTGATGTGCGACTTAGCAAGAAATATTGGATTTGAGTGGGAGGAAGTAGCTGCCTATCTTGGAGTGGAGAGACCTCAGATAGATCATCTCAAAATCAACTTCCCCAGTGACGCACTTGGTCAGATTCGCAATATGCTGTTTCAGTGGAGAGAAGGAATGGGGGCTTGTAGCAATGAGGAGCGTCGAGACAAGTTGAAGAAAGCGTTGGCAAGGGCCAGACGTAACGACTTAGCGGACAGTCTTAAGCTTGGGTAATACTGAACTGCTAAACTACACAGACATAAGACATGTACATTTGATAGTGGATTCTATCTCAAAACAGACATTAGGTCAACATTTTTGTAGCAGGTATTGTTCAGATTTTTTATTGCTGTAGTGATTTTGAGAACTCGTTTTGTGTTCTTGTTTCACGTGTCCATCATTGCTCACCGTACTGGCAGATTTCAATAATTGATTTTATTATTTATAATCTTAATATTTGCATGCACAGTTGTGTCATTCAAATTGCCCTTGTATATATTGTTGGTGTTCATAAGTTGAAAAACATATTAATTAGAATTACACTTATTTTTGCTACAAAAAATTTGATATGGGAGTGAAATCTTCCAGGTAGCTTTCTTGGGATTAAACAAAATTATCATTTTGCAAATATAAAAATTAACTCAGAATTACATTGTGTAATAGCTCTGATGATCAATGACAGAAGGCAAATTCATGAGATGTGTAATTTCAGTATGTTACCAAAACAAGTAAAACCAGTCATAATACCCATTCATTCAAATCAAATATTATAGTTATCAACAAGAATAATATCACAATGAAATGTTCAAACAAAACGATTCTATCAAAAGGGTGTGAATTTTGTATAATGAAGATACCATGCAATTGTAGCATTCAGAATATTTTATTAGATTCATATACATGTATGCAAGGAAATGATACCAACATATTATGTCCAGTAAATTTAGCAGTCTTGAATAATTTTTTTGACCTTCAAAATTATTCTGACATTTTAGGAAACTCATTGTTTTAGGAAAAAACCCATATATCTATTCCTAAACTAAAATAATTTGAACACAATTTTACAGAATTTTTAGCCCATGATTCACAAATATGTTTAAGACTTGATAAAGTGGCAGAGGCAGCCAAAAGGGACTACATTATTTTCTATGAGTAAATAAAACATGTAAATAAACAAAAGGGAGATGGTTTACTCAAATGCTTGCTTTTTCTGCACTTGTTTCATTATGCCTAATTTTTGTTACATTTAGTAAAATGTTATTAGTTATTTGCTTACGCCATATTATTTGCTTAAATGCCATATTAAAAAACAATATGGAATTAGTATTTTTTGCAACTTTCTAGATATTGTTTGTTACACTATTAAACAACGTTTATAACTGTAATTAATTATAAATTTATTATTCAGCTAAAATAGAACTTAATGAGCTTATTGATATTATAACAAGCATTTTTTATACTCACATATCTTTGCATGTATTTTCACTTATATGTATATGTAAATTTATGTTTAATTTTTCATAATTCTTTTGATACTCTTGCTCAAAATGGTTGGTACACGGAAATTTTGGGATGCATATTGCCCTGTTTCTTTCATTATTATTGATATTACCAAATTAATACCGTTTATATTGTTAAATATGTGAAGCTGGGGAATTGGTAAAGTCAAGGAGAAACAACCAATGCCAATGTGAAAAAAGCGTTAATTTATTTAGTTTTTGTTTCTCATGCCCCCCCAAAAGAGTAACTTTTTTACATAACAGTACCAAATGAAAAATTAAACATAAATTTATACTGTGATTGACAATTAATATGAAATTGATATATATATATATATATATATATATATATATATATATATATATATATATATATATATATATATAATTTTTGGTTTGTTTGTAACAGGATGAAATGGGAAGTGAGTATTATTAGAATAAAATAGCATTGGTCAGTAATGGATAATGGGTTTTAAATGGTACAATTTAACATAATGAACTGAAGATGCTTCACTGTTACTTAAAAATTTAGTAGAATCTAACAGATAGTTTTATTGTATTATAGGATTGTATTGGTAAACAAATGACCAACAATTGTTTTGGTAAGTATAATGTTATGTTGCTTCATGATTATTTGTGCTTAGTTTTTGACTGAATGGCAACTTATTAACAGAAACTGTATATATGTATGCTTAAACATATTTTAATGGATTCATAAAATTTAAGATAAAATAAGATAATGATTACCAGATGGATGATTAATTGATTAATAATTGTTAACATTTTAGATACATGTATTAAAGAACAGAAGGAGTATTAATTATAAAGTACTAGTATATAGCCAATTAATGCAACTATTTGATGTTACGTTAAATTCTAGTTATATTTACTGGAGGGAAAGGATATTATGTCATGTGACTTTATTTTTTATTGTTTATCCAATATTTTGTCATATGACAAGAATGAGTAGTTTCATATAAACAGAACATGATATGATCAAATAACTAATGTTTGGGTAAATTTAATTAAGCATGATTTTAAATAAAATGGTTTTAACTTTTATGATAAATAATTTACTTGGTAATAGATCATTAATTTTTTTTTTGCAAAAGTCTTGAGGCTCAAAACTTATTTGAGCAGGAGCAGGAGATTATTATGATAAGGTTTATTTAGGCTGTGGACTGTGGAAGCATTATATTCACACATACTTGAATGAAGTCAAAAAGATGTGTTGGCATACATTATACCCCTGTCACACTAGAGGCAGAATGAACAATAATGCCACTGGAATGGTAACTGGTCATAATGTTTCGAATGCTGTCAGAATGCCTTGAGAATATTTAGAACGCAGTCATAGTGCAGTTAGAATACTGTTCAAATGCCATTTGATAATTTTCTACTTGGAATGCACTTTGAAAGTTTTTGACATGACAAAAACATTTGAGCCGGCTACCAGAATGGGTAAAAATATTTGGAATGCACTCAGAATTTTTAGAATGCTCTTCAAATAACCTGGAATGCACAAAGAATTTTATTTTCGATGCCATTCTTAATCATTCTGCCTCTAGTGTGATGGGGATATAAAATCCCGCCAGAATGTTTCGAATGTGCCTCGGATGAGGTGAAATATTAATTTTGCAAGCAATCAAACTACACTAGTACGTTCTAAATATTCTTAATGCCTTCTGACAGCATTATAGATATTCCTAGTTTTCCAACAACATTCGAACTGCATTTGAGAGCTTAAACAACCGAAAGTGCACTCATCATTCCAGGCGAATTCAAGCGCATTCTGAGTATTCCAATGGTACTCTTACAATAATTAAGGTTAATTCAAAAAATTTTCCTGAATGTGGTGCGAATTTTTAAAATTCTTCATTCAGCCTCATTCTTCTTGATTCCTGCCGATTCCAATTAAGTGTGACAGGGGTATTAGGTGTGTGTGAAAGTTATCTTCCAGAGTTTCTCAATGAAAAGTAAGGGAGATAAACGTGTAAGAATGTTGTTTAGGCTGATAATTCGTTACAAGCATTGACATAAAAATTTAATAAAGCAACTTTTTGATTTTGGAACCAACAAGGCAGTTCTGTTGTCACTGAGTCCAACAACGCCCACTGATGATACTTATTCAAGGATTTGTGACAATTTCAATGATTTCTGTTTTTCTCCTTCAGTTGCCTATAATTCAGTATTGTGTTCAGATATTGATTCTTTAATAAAATTTCCCTCTTAAAGCTACAAAAACCTATGGTGCTCCTATTGGTCTCTTTTTGACATTAATCACAGCAGTGGCAAATCATAGCGAGATTTGATCATGTTGACATCACAGCAAATTGTGGCAGGAATATCTTGTTTCCAATAGAGCCACAGTGTCCATTTCAATCCTCCCAAGTAAAAATAAGTGTGAAAGAAAAATATCTTATATTCTATTGTTCCTCAAGATTTCGCCTTCTCTCTTTTCCAAGCATAATGAAGTGCATCACTGCCCATTTGTACAAATTATTCACGTTTTGCTCCACGCACAAAAATAACTCCCAGTAAAAATTGATAGACTAACTTTAGTTTTTTTCTTACATTTGAGACTATTTGTATAATAGCCTTACCGCTTGAAAATTGTAGAAGGTCCCAACAATATCAACTCAATTCCATTTATTTACTAAATCGGCAAAACTGTTTTTAGAAAGGAGAACAAATATCAAAAGGAAATTATATAAACTTTGCTTCTCAATTCTGTATTTATTGCCCATAACAACTGCTATACACAAGATTTCTGCTGTTTTCCACATAGGATGCCCAATACAGATGCAGTTACAGGTCACAAAGCATTTTGTTAAATAGTTAACTAAGATGGAAATGGCTTGTCTTTACAGAACACAAAACTTTTGAAACCTTTTCGAAAAGCATATTTGCTTCCTTTAAACTAGATACAAAAAAGCTCCAAATGAGTGGGAAATAAATAAAAAAAATTAAATACATCTGCATGAAAAAGGTGAGGACTTTATATATATATACAAAAAAATAAGACATAAGGCTGCTTAACAAAATCCCCTGTGTATATACAAAACTAAGCATATTCATTACATCACAGTATACCTCACATGCATCTACAGCGACTTTCAGCTCCTGGCACCCCAGGCTTAGCAGTTGATCT